CATCGGAATACTGTCAACCGACACATTGACATCGATCAAGTCTACACCCCCATGAAACAAAAGGACCAATCAGCGCAAAGAAGGCGGATCGTGTCACACGTCACAACAGGAGAAACTGAGAGGATTACCTAAATATATAACACTGGTAAGCCTGCTCACCTTCAAGAATAGTTTGTTACTTTGCCCTTTTATCAGTTCCGTTTAACTGCGCCACAAACTAAGTAATGCGCCAGGCTGTTGCTGACTAATGGGGAACGGAAGTCGGTCCAGAGAAGTGAGTCGTGGAATTCGAAGTTGCAGACAACGGTATTAATTTTGGAGAGATTCATGAATCGGTACTTGTCAGCATCAAATGTAAAACTAACATCGGTGGTTTGAAGGTAAACACACCGAAAATAAAGTACTTCAAAACATTCACAAAACTATCATCCAAATCAAGGATGATATTCGATAACAGGTACACCACTTCAAGTACCTGAGTTATGACGTTTAAACGATGGAGCCAAAGACGATGTCAATTCCGCGTTGAGTATGCAAGTTCAGAAGTCCTAGAATTTCAGTTATCCTCTTGGGATTACAACCTCCACGAAAAACGACACGTTTATGGAGCTGCCGTTCATCCCGTTCCGTTGCCCCCTTGCAAAATGTGACCAATTGGGGTGGACGGAACGAAAACACTGAAGTTGTTTGACCACAGGTTCCTTTTGTATATATTTAAAGTTGAGTGTTATAACCGCTTTTCATGCTCCAATATTCGTGAATAATGTCGTTCTTCCCTTGACGTTGTCTTCGGTGAATAAACCCGTGGGCCCGAAATAAAATTCACGAGAGGAGGCTTATCCCTGAGCCCTGCTGGGATCGGAAATGTTGTCTCGGAGGCCACGTAAACACGTGGGTCAACACAGCCCAATTTTATGTGGATCGGTTGTCGGAGTGCACGATTGGTACAAAAACCGGATTTAAGGAAGTCTCGATTTTGTCGCAAATAACAAAACATGAATACTTACTAGGGGAGAAATTCAAAAACAAACTTCGTTTCACTTAAGAGACAGTAGTGTGCAAGCAAAAATAAACATGGACTATAAAACTGGGGACGTGCATAACTTTTTTCCACTTTGCTGGGTCTCATCAACAATGCAATTCCATGAATCCAACAGGTGTAGACCCAATATATTCAATAATCGAAATCGTGAGACGTTACAATTAATACATAAATATATATTTCATCCACTAGTATCACCTCTACGTCGCGATATAATGCAAGTGCACTGCCCAGTTGATTACCCGTCGGTTTTGCAGACTGTCCAACATAGCCTATGCACGAAATAACACAACCAACCTCGTAAACTTGGTGCGAAATCCTAAGCTCCCTTTCCATAAAACGAACGTCTAGAGTCGAGACAAGTCAGATCACTCCGTACCTGATCGGTTGGTGGGACTGAAGAACGTGAAAATTGCTGTGCAGTGTCACCTAGTTTTCGCGTTACATTGTTTTGCACTGTATACGATAAGAATCATTTATTTTTCGAATTAAATCCCCAATCACTCCTTTTCTGTTGTATGCTCAGCTGAAATGGGCTTCATCCTATGAAATCCGAAAACCGTTTGGCACAGGATATAACACGTTTCCTCAATATATTGAACTTGATTTTCCAGATGACGGATATACAGGTGGTTTCAGTTTATTTGATGCTCCACCCGTACATCAATAAAATGCGCCCACATAGCCAATGCCAATAACTATACAACCGAATTTGTCGTTGATTGATGTATTTGATCTTTTACAGACAAAGTGATCGACTCTGGAACGTACAGATACACTCACATGCACACACACTCGCACACACACACACACACACACACACACACACACACACACACACACACACGTGCACACAAAGTCAGTTTAAGAAAGACAGGCGTACACGAACTGAAAGCGGCAGTGCTGTCCCCGAAACCGAGGAACAAATTGCACTGTGATGTGTTCTGTCAATCACCCCCTCCCGCACCACACGTCCAACGCGGTTTCAACCAATATCTGCTACCGACCATTCATCAACCTAACTACACGCGTACACATTTGGAATAACGAATTCACATGTGGAAGGGGCAATTCCAAAATTCTATCGATCCCTAGCGCCACTATGTTACATGGACATGGATTTTCTGGTGCAAAACAGCTGTCCCCGTATCGTTGAAACAAAATGGGCATGTTATTTTCATTGCGCGATTTTTTTGTTTAACCGAGTGTCTTATCATTGCTGCGCGGAGAGCTTGCGGCTGAGAAGCATACAGCAATAATGATCAAAGTCTACTATCACTGCCAATGGTCGAAATGCGTTTCACAGAGGTTTATGTGTGTGCAAAATGGTGTATTTCGGCTTTCAACTGTTTGTCACCCTTCTTAACTGCAAAGAAGAAGCCGAACAGTGCAAAAGTGATGAAAAATAAACCTTACTAAATGAATAGACTGTAACCGATTGCTTTTTGATTGCTTAAGACTGACTAAATTTTGTGTCCACGATTTGGAAGGTACATGGAAAACAATGAAATTGAATGAAAAGTGTAGTCATTTAAATCAGTGATAAATTTGTGCGTTGTTGGATAATGATTAAAATACAAAATCCATTGTGCAGCATCTTCATCTCAAAATTTTGTAGTCATAATAAACTGTTCAATTGATCCTGATTTTTAACTTATTAACATAATAAGTCTATCGGAAAGTTCTGTTCGTTTCTATCACAACCGGTTTCGATACGCAAGCACATGTTTATTTGGCGCATGTGTGGTTCTCCATTTTTATAACTTGATGTATATATACTGACGAAGCAAATTAGCTAAAACAAGCTGATTCACATGCTTTCGACCATTCTGAAAAGCCACGTTCTAGGCGACCATCTTTGATCGACGACGATGTTGTTAAGACCATGCTAGAGCAAGATCCTTTTCTGACAACATCGGAGATCGCAGAAAGGTTTAATTTAGCTCAGGGATAAATTTTAGACCATATTCTGAAAATAGGCTTGGTATAGAAATGTTCAAGATGGGCGCCACATGAATTAGGTTAGGAGAATTTGAATGATTGAGTCGTTGTATGCGCATCTCCGCTTGTTTGGAACAAAATCGAGTCCTTCTTGAACCAGATGAATGTTGTGTATTTGGTGAGGCAGTCGAGAAACAATACTTTGTGAAGTTTGGAAACCGAATGAAAAGTTCTATTTGGAGAATTATTGTCAGTCACTGGATAATTTAAAGACAGTGGTCCAAGAAAAGAGGCTACCAATATTCAATAGGAAGAACATCATGCTACATCATGATGATTCCAAGACACGCGCTACTTTGGGAACTCGTAAAATAAACTGCAGAACTACGCTGGGAAATTCTGTCGCATCCGACACATTCCCCTACCAATATCACTTGATTTGTCCTTATAACTTTTTTGAAGGGCAAAATGTTCAAAAATGAAGATATCAAACAAGCACTGGTTCAATTCTTCGCATCAAAAGATGAAACATTTTTCAAAAAATGGGCCATACTAATTGCCCTCACTCTGACGAGAAATCATTATTAATAAAGGCAGTTGTATCATGTAAGAAAGTTTATGGACGGTGGGAAAATTCTTATTTTCTTTTATTCCAAAAATGGACAGAACTTTTCGGTAGACCTAAAATATCCATCCAATCTTTCCTGTTTACACAATAACTTTCGTAAGGGCAGAAAACAGGTTATCCTATCTAGCGCTACTCATTTTGAATCCTCTTCTTACTTACTCGGGAGAACCTCAGGGTGCCATTCCATCTCATTTTCTTCTTTCCCTTAATGTCTGTGATATCTCAGTCAGAGGTGATACCCCAAAAACTGTTCTCAGCTGTGCTTTAGTGATCAGACTTTGACTGCGGTTTATCTCACTCAAATCGTATGGAATAAAACACAAGTGGGCTTATAGGTTCCAATTCACAAAGGTCTTAGTCTTACCTAACACTTTAATTCATGCAGATTCTTCTGCCAAAAGAATCCAACTCATCCATTATGGGGAAAACCCCTGTCGTTGTTTGTGTCCGTGTATCTCAAACGTCGGTGCGTGTCTTCACACGCTTGCGGAACCAGATATTATCTACTGATCACTCCTTCTCTCAATCGTCTTTTACATATAATTCCGCTAAAATAGATAAACTAAAAAAGCGTTGTTGTGCCGAGTAATTTACGGCTCTGTTGATCTGCTTCTGCTCAGCTTACTTATGTGTTTGCATTTTAATTATGAATTCGTTGTGTAAATGAGACCTGAGCTGAAAAGCAATGGTTGGGTCTCACCAACAGTGTGAATCCATCGACCAAACTGGGGATTGAACCCGGGACCTCACAGATAGAGCGCAAGCATACTACCCACTGGACCACTGGGCAGCTGATCAGACCGTTTCTCATTTTGAATTCACATGATATAGCACAGCCTTTTTATGCGAGATTCTGGCGAGTATCGGTCCTCGCTCATCTCAGCACTAGCCTCCGGGGCTATGCTTTGGTTGGAAACTTTCACAACCTGACCATTTGGTTCATGGGAGAAATGGAGGATTCGATTTGTTTTGATGATGAATTTGTCGGGTAAATGAGGCGTGAGCTGAAATGCTGGGTGGTATGCTTGAGTTCTATCTGTGAGGTCCCGGGTTCGATCCCCAGTTTGGTCGTTGGATCCGCACTACTGATGAGACCCAACCAGTGCTTTCCAGCTTTTCCGCTCAGACCTCATTTACACGACGAATTCATCATCAAAACAAATCAAATCCTCCAATTTTCCCGTGCTTGCATTTTACACATTTTACATATACACAAAGACATTCATCACACTGTTTATGATAACACATTCAAATGGACTTTACACCGAAAACTCATTTGCTCAATTGAATGAAGCAGCCAATTACCCGTGACCTTAAATGCACATGCGTTTTCACGTCATATATCATAGAATCTCTTAGGGTTGTCTTTGAGGTGAAATGCCGAAAAATCTAATGGACCCAGGTGTTTGAAGTTTTCAGCGGATATAATAAAATTATGGGATGGGCAGTCATTTCTGAAAGATATGGTTCGTCTAAAAAAATCTCACAATTACCCTCAGTTGTGTGATTAGTTTCTGCTGGTGTTTGCGTAAGTGCGATCAAAACCTGGTCATCCAATTGCTTCGTAACGTATCTGGCCACGAGTTTTAATGCCAAATCAAACTTTTTATTTGCCCAAAGCAAATTAAAACACTCAATTTGTGAATCTGCCAGAATTATCTTGTGTGTGTGTTTACATATATATGTGTGTGTATACGTGTCACAACTCCGACTAGTCGGCACTGACTTACGTTGCAAACTTTGAATAACAATCGGTTTCAGATCGATTTCCATGAGGAATTCGCCTGTTGTTGCATGATACAGGCTCACTCGAGGGCTGTTCTCTGTGGCTAACCACACCGTCTGTTTACCATAGGCCATCAATTGAATCCCACGCGGATCGGCAGGGTTTCCGTTGAGAGGGAAAGAGAGCTTGACGGAGTAGAAATTCGGACGCAAACAAAATTAAAATAACTTGTTTTCATTTAATTACAAGTTACAGTTATGCAGATTAGTAAGTGATAATTCTCAAATTCATCACTTTGAGAAAATTGAATAGCTGACTCAAAATGAACTTAATGGGCCATTTGGTATTGAGCCGAAATAAAAAATGTCAAACTTTGTTCTAAGTAAAAAGTGATAATAAGTGCAGCAGTATCGACATCCCCTTTCTGTAAAATGTTATGGTTGTTTCTATCGGATTCATAATCCAAAACAAGAAAATAATTCCGATTAGGCTTATAAGACTCAGCCAATTCCTAGGCATTCCCAAAATAAAACACAATCATCACCAAGGTAAATTAACCAAAATAATTGCCAATGAATTCAAAATAATTGAGAGATCGAATGAAATGGTACTGTTTGTTTTGCATAAATTTTGATGCAACAGTATGCTTGCAGAACAGTTGCAGAAGAGATATTTCCACCATTTATTTTCTTCGGATGGTTTGAAACAATTTAAAGTTAATACCGCCACCTGATGATTTCACACTGCAAGACCACAAGCGACCAGTTTCTCAGGACTTTTCTAAGGTTCCCACTCTGAACTTAATTAGAGCAAGGGCAAGGTAAATGGACGATTGTCCCATTTGTTCATAGCCACAGAGTCATACATAACACAAATAAACCAAGGCGTGTTGTTGGTTGTTGTAACCGTACTGGCCACAATGTCGATAACATCTGGCCTGAGCAAAGTATGGCTTGGGGAGGGTGCATCGTTTACGTGGCTCGAAACCAACAGGAGGTTAGATCGATTCTTGGGTCATGTAAGTCAGTCAAATGTAAAGTGCACGAAACCATACTGTGAGATAGGCTTTTCACGGGTGAACAGAAAACCTGGTAGAGCTGATTATCAGTTGTGTTTTGAAGATGGAAGACTACGGTTGAGAGACGTTTGCTTTTTTCCTAACCTCAGGCTATTCTGGGGCATGCAGAAATCACTGGCATAAAATTTGAATTAGAGAGACTGGATTATCTAACTGTTCAATCCAAGAGGAATGTGATTTCTTATCTGGGTGAGACATGCTTATCAGAACGTGTAGATCTGTGTTGTGCTTAGTGAGCCTTTATCCCTCGGCCGTCGAGAACACACATCAAAGATGCCGCACTTTTACGATACCAATTTCTGACTTGCTTGGATCTCTCGTCTTGATGTATTGTTGCCTCGGTATCGGATACACAATGAAATTTGATGGAAAGGATTTGTAAAATTTGAGAGATTGATACTCACAAAAATGAAGGACATTGATGGTTGAGACAGTAGAGACATTCAGGAATAAGAAGGTTGAGAAACCAGGTGATATATGATCACTGAAAACTACCAAAGCTGCTGAT